TCTCTTCACTGTGTTCAGTGTTGAGTGAGTGGAAGCATGTAAAAATAATAATAACTAATGCTGCCAAAAAGAGTGCCTGACGAGCGCAGTTGTAAGTAAGCTATTAAGACTCGACTGTACACTGTGTTCATGTGTTCAATTCAATTTATTAACCTACCTCTGAGATGAAGTGCAGCTGTGAAGAACGCTACAGCAGGTAATGTGGTGGTCTTAATGTGTCTATGTTAATTTGAGCTCCCTGAAACCACAACAAGCAGGTATTTATGTTTCTACAATTTTATTTGCTGGGTTTAATTTCATAACAGCGTTATTGCAAATGATGTTGCATGATGGTTTAAGTTGATTACTTTCACTGAAGATGTAAGAAAAGCTAAAGTAGCATTATATTTTTATGTTTAAGATACAGTGACGTTCCTAAATGTAACTTCCTTTATTTAAATTTTTTCTCACAATAACGATGCTGAGTGATCGTGTTGGTGAACTCGGATTCCGGTCTTTAAGTCTGACGTGATTTGCCGTTTCCAGGCGTATGTACCTTAATCGAGCCATGTAATAACAACATGTGCCGGAACATAATAGAGTAAAAGAAACATGTTTGTTCAGACAGTGAATGGACTGATTCTTATATAGCGCGCTTCTACTCTCCCAGTTTACTCAAAATGCTTTATACAACATGGCACATTCGCCGAATCACACACTATCTCTAAACTCAGTGCTTCTTAAATACGTTCATGCTCTTGACATGCAGACTGGAGGAGCCAGGGATCGACCCACCAACCTTCCGATCAGTAGGTGACCTGCTCTACCTCCTGAGCTACAGCCACCTAGTGGTAAACATGAGTAAACCCTCACTATATTTTGGATCAAGTGTATCCTCAAACCTGCATTTGTAAGATGGCTACCATAGAAGTATAGTATTGCAACATGGCATTTGGATCTTCTAACTAAAATAGGAAAATAGGAACATAAACAGTGCCATCATTGCCAGACCTGGCCGGTTAGTCAGAAGTGCCAGCTTGATGACAGATCCGGCCCAGACCCGTTTTCTATGAGCCTGGGCCACATAAACCAAACCACAATCGGGCCAGATATGGCATGCAGTGCCATCAACACCAGGCCTGGCTCGTATCTGGATGACATACCACTTACCATGCCAGAAGTCAGCCAGTAGTGCCGGCTTGACACCTGTCTGGTATGTGGGAAGTCTGTCATGTCTAAGGGTAGAGGCCTGACAAAGTGCAACCCAATTACATGACAAAAACAGTTATCCAGAGCACCTCACCCAACCCCCACCCCTTACCTGCCTGAATTGCCTCTATGTGCCCCTTTTACATTTCTGTCTGCCCCCTCATATATGCCTGTCTAGAACCAGCCCAGACCAACATGCAGGTAATTTCAGATGAAAAGCTTCTTTCATGTCAACAAATATCAGAAAACACCAAAACTGTGTGCAGTTTGTCACATAGTATGTTGCTAGTTAAGGTCCAGCTACTGTATTTCAGAGGGAAAGAAAAGAAAGAGAGCCAACTTCACTCAGAGATAGAGAAAGATAATAAAGACAGAACAATAGAGGAAGAAGACAGGTTAGATTTAAAGGTAAGGACTGCACTGCAGCTGCCACACAGTGACGTATGGGCAAGGCCTCAAGTAAACATACACCAAAGCTACAAGAAATTGATGTTGTTCATGTCAATGGAAGAAAGGGTCTACTGGGTACATAGTAATTGCCAGGGAACTCAATGTGTGTGTGTGTGTGTGCGCGCACAGATGCATGAATCTTTTCTTGTGTGCATATGGCAGTTTGACAAATGAGGATGTGCCTGAATTCATTTATTTACACCAATTGTTTCCTTCCCCACTCATTTCTCGTTGTTTTTTTTTTCAGGGAATGCCAAAGTGTACAAATGTTGGCTAAAATCAGTGGCATCCTGATGTCATTGCTGTAGTGGATTGTAATTCCATCTATTTTCTTAGTAAAGTAGTTGTAAGCAGCAGTTATAAGGAGGTTTTGAACAGGAAACTGTTAGGTTAGGAACCGATACTTGTACTTAGTGACAAGATATGAGCTGTTAGAAATAAGTGATAGATTCGGTTATTCTTTATGGTTAGTCTGTAGAAACAGTAGAGAGACTGATTTGTTTTTTTGTATTAAAAAAGTAAAAGGTCTGCTCATTATTTGTCCGAATTTATTGTCACTGTAAAAGTATTGTGTTATAGAAAGATAAAACACTCAAGAAAGCAACAACTTCTAACAGATACCATCTCATACAAATGCTTCAGAGGTTCAATCCGAGCACACACAATAAAAAGTGTTTTATTTTGGCGAAAAAACTAAACATGAAGATACAGAACTGCAATGCTTATATCGTGTCAGTGTCTTATTCTTTAGCATTTAAAGGCTTTGAAAAAATATACTAAGTATAAAAACTACCAAGACAACTATAATACATAAAAACACACACTCATTTCTACTGCTTTATACTTGAGTAGACACATTCAGCCTTGCTGTTGTTTCTCTGTCTTCTTGGTCTGTCAGCCTTGTGGTGCCTTAAAGCTGCATAATGGAGGTTTTCTTCATTTTGCTTGACCTAATAATAAAATATAATTGCAAAATAACAATATACAACTTCAAATGGGCTAACAATGTTTTACAATGATAGTGTGCAAAAGTCAACACCAAAATTTACCTCTGCATTTGGTGAAGGCGGGGAAATTCTTGAATGAGACTCTGAAAGGAAAATGATAAAGCGTTCTTACTATTATGCTATGTTGGTTGACTAGATGTTGACAATAACAATAGCAGTTGCAGTACCTGGGCATTGGTGCCGTGTGCAGTTTCTTTTGTGGGCCATATACAATAAGAAAGCCATTAAAACATTTAGAAGTGTGCTGAATGCCAAAGCTCCACTGAAGAAGTACACAGCATTCCCATCATCTATGGACATTAAGACACCAGCAAACATTATATATCTTCCAGCTAGCTCCTATGAAATATTAAAATATAAGCCATCCGAATTACTCACCCTTAAAGTCCAGTTTGGTCCTGTTTCCAAACAGTATGTGTCCACATGAAGCCACGGCACAGTAGTAGGTCCCAGCATGAGCCGTATTCAGGCTCTTCATTGGCAGGTTGTAGACACATGTGTGTGTCTGTGTGTTGGGTTTCCTCTCACACTGATCATTCCTGCCTCCATGGGTGTAAATGATTCTTGGGAAAGACTCTTCAGAGTCTCTGAACCAGCAAACACTGTGTTCTTCATCACAGGTCCCAGTGTGTACTGTACAGTTCAGAGTCACAGAGCCTCCTGGCTGGATGGTCTCAGAAGCTGACTGCTGCACTAAAGTTGGGATGTTCAACTCTGAACCTCTTATGTTGATGATAGTTCCCTCTCCAAATTCAAACTTAAATGAATAGCTACTTGCACAATAGTAAGTAGCAGAGTCTGAAATGTCCAGATTTGTTATCTTTAAGTAGATTTTTCCTTTTTCAGCATCAGCTGTGAATCGTGGATCATTCTTGAATTCATCACTAAAGGTGGCGTTGGTGTCAAACTTGTAAAGAGTAGAAATGAGCTTTGGTTTCTGTCCCAAAGTCAGCTTGTACCAGTAAAACCTCGCAGCAACATCTCCTTCATAGAAACAAGTCAAAGTCACGCTGTCCCCTCTGTTAGCTGTTATGAAACGTCTTTCTTGATGAACAGAAAAGGAGAATTTGAGGTCTTTCGTCAGAGCTGAAGTGAAATGAAAGACAAAGTAAACACAATTATGGTCTCATGAAATCATCATCATTCATGTTAAAAGATTCAAACTGCATTATATAACACACACATACACGCACAAACACACACACACAAACAAAAAAAAACTTACCCATTTTTCCCAAGCACAAACATGTCAAATAGAAGGCGAACTGTGCAGATGTCATTGTGCTCATATCGTTCTGCTCGTTGTAAAGAGCATTGACCCTTTCTCCTCTTTTAAGAGAGAAGAGTGAGTCTGATTGGCCAAGTAGAAGTGACATGGTATGTCCTGTTAAGGAAACTTGATCACATGTCACCTGCAACCTATAGTGTTGAGCTCAGTGTCTCAGAAATATTGCATGGTGAGAGCTATATAAAATGTAATCTCTTGACATATATACATATCTTACAGTCAGTCACTTTGCTAGCAATGCTATACCTGTGGATTTCAACTGAATGCTAGGTAAGCAACAACGAAGAATCTGATGTTGGTTTAAAGAAATAAATAAACCATTTTCTTTGTTGATTTAAAGTCAATAAATATTCATCTCTGCATACATGTGCTAATGAAAAGGAACACACTGAAAGTAAATATTGTAATTCCGTATTAATTTATGTATTTATTTATTACTTTATTATTCAAACAATAGAGACAAAAAACATACCTGATTTAAATTTGGCCAATCTCATTCAAGGATGTGTTTCTATACTGTCAGACTCTCACATTAAATCTAATATCTACTTGCATGTATAAATCTTCAGTGCATGCTAGATCTCCTCAAGTGCAGCATAAATTATATAGGTCTGAAAACCCTCAGCGAGAACTGGCTACAGATACAGACTGAATGGAGCAGCTGTCAGCCAACTCCTGCATACAGCTTGATGACATCAAGCTGTATGCCAAGAGCGAATGAGACATTAATTCACTGATCCACACCAGCAGGATATACAGCAATGACATCGGAATATCATTCGGATTGAAGAAGTATAGTCGGATAATAACAAAGAGAGGGAAGGTAGTCAAAGCTGAGGAGATCGAACTACCAGAAGGCAACATTGCAGATATTGAGGACAGCTACAAGTACCTGCAGATCCCACAGCAAAATGGGAACCATGACGAGAATGATATTCAAGCTGCAACCACTGAGTACCTGCAGAGGGTCAGGCAAGTCCTGAGGAGTCAGCTGAACGGTAAGAACAAGATCAGAGCTATAAACACCTACGCCCTGCCCGTGATCAGGTACCCTGCTGGGATAATAAGCTGGCCAAAGGAGGAGATGGAAGCCACTGACACCAAGACCAGGAAGCTCCTGATCATGCATGGAGGGTTTCACCCCAAGTTCATTTGCCCTGAGGGTGTATGCTAACTGGAAGGAAGGAGGCCGGGGACTGGTGAGAGTCAGCACCACAGTCCAGGATGAGACAGTTTACATCCACGAATACATCAGGAAGATGGCCCCAACTGACCGTGTGCTCAGTGAATACCTCAGGCAACAGAAACCCTAGAAAGAGGAGGAAGAGGAGGAACCGTATGTACCGCAGGCAAACAGAGGAGGTGGCTTTTTTTTAAACATCAGGGACACATATTATTCCAAGCTTACAGCTATTTATTGTAGCATGTATTTATTTCAGTACTTACTTCAAATAGACCATATTTATTAATGTAAATTTGAACATATAGGATTCTGTAGTTTTAAGAATGCAGGGATTTTCCATTGTTTAAACATCAACACAAAGACCTAAGCCTGGACGTAATTTGCTTTCCAAAATTCAGCAACAGTGCTGCACATCGCCAACAGCTCCACATTTTCTCCCTCTGTACCAGGATGGTGCCTCTCTGCAGCACCAAAGGACTCCACGAGCGAAATCTCTCTCACCCTGGCAGCACCTGTCTCTCGCCTCCTCTCCAGTTCGCCTTATCATAAAGTCATCATCATATCCTGTGTTATGATTTACTTGTGGTCTTTCAACATGTGTCACAAACCGTGTCCTAGCTGTTTGTGATCAGCCATTAT